TGCATGAAAAAGGGGGAAAACATGGCCTTGTTGTTATTTACAGGTAATTATATTGTGATTGCACTGGTCCCCCCACGCTTGACATGTAATTAGGATGCATGTGGCCCCTGATCTAAAACGAGTTCGACACCCCTGCTCTAGAAGGTGTCACAAATCAGTATTTTCTGTTTGTCGTTGTGCTGTTTGGAAAAAGAAAAATCCGCTTAAAAAAAAAAAATCCTCCCGACACCTCCCTGTCAGGTAATAACCCTAGATAGTGATATGTGTAAATGTGATGTTTGCAAATGTAGTGCGCATGATTATTTATTAAACGAGACTCTCTCTCTCTCTCTGAAACTGATTTACCTAGGTCGTGTACTTCATTACTCAGCCTAATAAATGTATTCACATACATTTCATGGGTCACCGCTCCGATGAAAGGCACTTCATCATACAACAGAGTATCATGTATGTACGGTACACTGGGCAAGTGTTGTCTCCCAAATATATATAGCGACCCCTCTGCCATAAACTGTATGTGTCATTTCACACGGCCTAGGTCTTCTTTTTTAAATCTGAGTAAATAGATTGGTGTCAATGATGATCAGCAGTAATGGATTTTACAACAGATAGAGCCACAAAGAATAGAAACTGCTAATAAAATCTGTTTTTTGTCATATCACATATATATATATATATATATATACATAAATCATAAAATGATACCATTTCACGTTATTCAAGCCTTCAGTTCCAACAACAGACAGTAACGTCGTCTGAATGTCTGGATAAACGACCAGTGTCATGGAATAAAAGGACAGAATCAATGTCCATAAAGTACGTACGAAAAATACTAAAATGGGTCACTATGGTATAGGGCACTCAAAAAATATACTGGGCCTATCAGGAGTAGATAGATGGAGCGCAAAATTATCATTTTCTACGCCATCTATTGGGTAAACGTGCGTATTGCAGGGAAAAGGCAAAAGTATAATGATAATATGAATAAATAATATAATTTGGAAGTTTGGCGGGCCTGATTAGAAAGCTGAATGGGCCGCATCCAGCCCCTGGGCCTTAGTTTGCCCCTG